GGGGGGGAGGTTACTGTTGGACTTCTTGGTATTAATTCCGTTTGTAGTTCTAGAGTTGTTGACTCTCGTACGTTCGTCTACTGTAATTAACGTGGGTGGTTGGCGGGTGCTCTGGTGTGGTTTGCTTCTTCTTTCCTATCAAATATCTGTCGTCCTTATCTCCCCTTCTTCTTTTTTGTGTTTATTACTCTCTTGTAACACCTCTAATCTTCTGGCGCTCATATGACCATGCAGTTGCGAGCGCCGTAAAATCTCTACTAAAAAAAAAAAAAAAGTGTAATTAACTTTTATACTTTTCTGTGTCATTAGCTGTTTTATTTCTGTGATATTTACAGGTGTGTTTCAGTGTTATTACGCGGAGTACTTTTGTGTTCATAACTCGTGTATTTAATGTGCTTCTGATGTCACTTAAACTACTCTGTCCTACATAATATTCATTTCAAATAATAATTATCAGGTTCAATAACAGCCGTTGGTTGGATCAGCCTCTGTTTCCTGACGTATTGTACTCGCAAGCTAACCCTTTGTTCAGACTACATAGACCTTGGAGGAAAAGACATAGACCATAGCCTACATACACTTACACTGACACAAGCTGTTGCGTGAGCCTCTCTACAATATTATGTATTTGCTTTTGGGTAAATTAGTCTGTCTTTAGGGATTTCGAGGCTATCAAGACTGCGATATTCCCTCTTGTCTCTCTTAAAATATATAAAATAAAACAATGACGACGACAACAACAACAGCAGCAACAACAACAACAACAACAACAACAACAACAACAACAACAACAACAACAACAACGATACACCATGCAATATTACTATTGGCGAAGTTTAAAAAAAACATGGCATGGTGACCACCCCAATCCTCTTCATGTGCTTGCAAGTGCCGTAAAACTAAAACTCTTACTAAAACAAAAACTGCGCGTGTGTGTGTGTGTGTGTGTGTGTGTGTGTGTGTGTGTGTGTGTGTGTGTCTGTCTGTCTGAGTGTGTACTCTCAATTTTGTTGCCAGAATCTTTTCTCCGCTTTCTAGGCCCCATTAAGCGTTTACATTGTTGACAATTTTTCTCCCCCCCCCCTTCTCTATTTTTGTCTCCCCCTCTTTTTGTCTCTCCCTCTTTTTCTCTATCTCCTTCTTTCTTTTCTTTCCTTTTCTCTCTCTCTCTCTCTCTCTCTCTCTCTCTCTCTCCTTCTTTCTTTCTCTGTCTCTTTCTCTTGTGTTGCAAGAGTTGTAAAAACTCTTACTAAAAAACATAAAACGAACATCTATTTTACTTCCTGGTTGAGTTTCTCGATGCCACGGTCTTGAGATTTACCCCTACTACAAGACAACAGCTTATAGCGGGCGGGTCTTTGCATTTTAGATTTTACTAGTGAGGTTAGGCCGCCTCTAGACTTGTCGCCACCCAAGAATCTCAAAGTTCTATCTTCTTAACACCTAGTTTTGAGGAATTCGACGTTTAAAAAAATGGGTGGTTAGCGGGTGTTCTGGTGTGGTTGGCTCCTTCTTTCCTATAAAAAAAATCTTTCGTTTCTAGATTCTATCTCCCCTCCTTCTTTCTGGAGGTTTGTTACTCTTGTATCACCTCTAATCTTCGGCAGCGCTCATATGACCTTAGCAGTTGCGAGCGCCGTAAAACCCTATACTACATACATACATAATCTTCGGCAATTATTTGACCTTATTGTGTTGCAAGTGCCGTAAAACTCTTAGTAAAACAAAAATCATTAAAAAATTTGAGTTTTGCAACATGTCAAACTTATTCCGAATGCAGTTCTTTGAATATCTTGATAACGTCTCTGAATAGCCTTAGGATTTGGATAAAACAGAACATTAAAATTTGGTTTCTAACCGCATTTAATATACATCAAAGCAGCCAATGTCACTTTTTCTGAGAGAGTGGGCGGTTGGCGGGTGTTCAGATGTGGTTTGCTCCTTCTTTCATATGTATCAACCCTATAGATCTAATATATTGTCCTTCCTAATTATCTCTCCTCTTTTTCTTCTCTATATGTTAGCCCCCAGCAACACCCCCTCTAATCTTTAGCACTTATTTATGTTCATGCCGTAAAACTCTTACGTAAACTAAAACTTTAAAAAGTGTTTTTTGTGAGTGTGGGCATTTATTCCAGACTACGGGCAAATCAATTTATTTCCTGTTTACTTATTTTAACTACAGCCCAGGATCAGTTTCCTGAGAACATGGAAAGGCCCTTTTAGAAGTGAATTGAAGCCCAAAGTCACTGAAGCGTGAAATCTTAATCCCCGACCCCTTTTGTAAGCTCCCGGCTTGCTTGGCTTTCACAGGGCCCAGCACTCAATGGAGTACATGTATAGGGGGGAGAGAAGGAAGGCGAAGGGGAATTTTTGTGTGGTTCCCCAACCCCCCCCCCT